CTTGCAGATATCGAGTCGGGACGGGTATAGCAATGATGATGCAGCATGCAACAGCTTTGGCTACAAATATGCAAGCAGAAGATTGCTTGAATCTTGAAGCAAAGGTCAGGAAGGCAAAAGCTGAAGGTCAAACAGTTACTATAACTGATGGATGTGTGTTTTTTGATTATCAACTGATTGCTCGACTACCTCCTGGTGTTCAATTTAATACTTGATAATGCAGTTAATAAACTAAATGAATAGATATTAAACAACTTCCTTTGCTATCACATGGCCCACTTTTATATTCATTCCACTGATAAATTTCAAAAAATAACGAAAAGTATTCTGATCCAAAAAGTATAACAATCATTAGCAAAAATATGACAAATATCACAATATCTTAAAAAGCATTTCTACATTAATGTTGAAAAAATAGTAAAATTTACGGAAAGCCATAATTAATATAATATAAAATTAATATGTTCTGTACAATTTTGCCTGTAAATAACTTTAATTACTGAATTCTGAATGCATAAAAAAATTTTCTGTTACAATTATGCAATTATTTACAATATTTTTCAACAAAATGCTTACTCTGATGGATTTTTTAGTACAGAGAATTATAGCAAAAGTTATGTTATGTCAGTCTGATATAATTTTTGATTATATATTTAATACTTTTGACATTTGACACATCTTTAGAAAGGATTATGTGAAGAGAATTCAGCAGATATGTGTACTATTTCCTTATTAGTATTCTTTTTGCCTCTGATATTAGATTAATAATTGCACAAAATTGAAGGGAATAAGAGTACTCATACATGAAAATTAATTAAAAATGTTCGAATAATAAATTTTTATTCGTTAATGAAATTTTAAATTAATATACTCGAAAACCATGTGTTACCATTAATACTTAAAAACGCGCATTACTGCTATTTAGATCGAAGCTTTTGTTTCTGAATTAAAAGAGAGTAACTTTTGGGTTCAAGTAAGGCTCACACGTGCTTGAAGCGTATTTGCAAACGTGTATGATTTGATTAGCTTTTAATAAAGGAAGAATATAAAGGCTTTGATCTAACGTCATCCTAATTTAAGTAATATCTTAGAATTTTAAATTTGATGAGATGCGAACATTTACCAAAATGAGCAGAATATTTTCGAGCTGAAAGGATAATTTGTACAGTTTTGACTGACACAGAAATAAACATGAATAATACTTGATCAGTGGATCAATTCAATAAATTAATGGATCATTTTAATAAAGGTTTAACTATTACTGTGGTATATAATGATGTATATTTAATTGCATATCTTAATTAGAGTAAAATTAAACTTTGCATATATACTCAAAATAATAAAAATTTACATATTTTCTTCCAAAAATTTTTTGTTAGTATCAAAAATAAAAATAATTTTCTGCAATGTATTTAATACTTTTAGCAAAATTAAGTCATTAAAAATAGTCGATTTTTTACTTTTTGATCAAATAATTATACAGATAATCAGTTTTATTTTTAAAATAAAGCGTTACATTAATTTTGTTCTTTCCTTATGCAATAATAAAATAAATAAATGTAAATTGTAATGAAGAAAAACGTGCAAATTGCCTTTTTAAAATTAAATCATATCAGAAATGAAAAATTGTCATAGCAACCGTAGCACTGCAATAAAGTTAACCATCTGCTGCTTCAGTCTAAAAACACTTAAGTTAATTAGAAGCTAGCAAAGTTTTACTTTCATTATTGGCAGTATGTATCAATCTGATCATATTTTTTGATATTAAATCGACAAAAAAATTTTAGATATACAATTTTTGTATTACTTTATTATTTATTTGAATATATATATATATATATAATAGCTTATTGAAATTTCATCAAATTAATGATAAAAATTATCAAATGTTGCAGGTTTATCACTAATTTTTTGATAATTTATCAGCACTGATTGTTAAAAAATATACAAAATACTACTTTTACTATTTTAATTATTTATTTGAGAGCAAAAAAAGGTATATTAAATCTATTAATGCTGTCTTTATCGCAGTAGCACTCACAACATATAATTTTAGTTACCACAAAAGCAAGCATTATTTTTTGTAAAGCTTACAGTTTGCTTATAAAAAGAACAGAAAGGTAAAATGATTATCAGAAATATAATTATTCTAATTTTTGCTTTTATACTTGCTATTATTGCTTTTTACTCTTTAAGCATTCATACTTATACGTAAAAAATACGTCAAATTATTAACAATTTGCAGAAATCTTCAAATCTTCAAATTCTCAAATAATCATTTTAAATTTAATAGCACGAATTTTAATTCAAAATTTTTAAACTTTATTGATTTAACTTTTTTTTTAAAATTTTTGCAAACACATTTTATTATTTTTGGATAAAAGTGCTTGTGAAAATTTAACTTACAAATTAATTTATCCAACAGAAAAACAAGCATTTTATTTTGTGTCTTTTAATTGAATACAAGCAAAAATTAAAACTTTTTGCAGCGAAACATCGAAATATTTTGCATGCAAGAAGTATGACGGAAACTGAAGCAAAGCATTACCTTCAAGAACATTCAATACCAAAACTTTTTGAGGTATAATTCAGAACATTTCACTACAATTTACTATATTTGTCAATGGCAATTGAGTTTGTCTTTTGTATTTTTTGTAGTATTTTTTCTGAATATTTACACAACGAAATTACTAATAAAATAATGATAACAACGGTTATAATCGCATATTTAAATATCCACTGCAATTTTTATTCTATAAATTATATCAGTAAAGTTGTTTGTGACTGCTATGAAGGATTTGCCTTCAAACAAATTTAATGCCTAACAAATTTCATATTTACAGTAAATTTTAATGTCATACAAATTCCTATATTTATCATTTTAAAAACTTCTGAATCTTTTATCGGTATGAGATTAAGACTAATAAGGTTGATCAAAATAATTTTTAAATACAGTAATGATAATAGATGATAAAATGATTTACTATAAAGATTACAAAAAAAAGTCTTTTAACTTATGGAAAATTAACGTTTTCCACAATACTTAGCATTTCCATATATATCAAAGGAATCAGTAAGTTTAAAGTTTTTAATATCACTTTCAGATCTGAAAACTTTAATATGTAATAAATTTGTCTTCAATTTATAATACTGAAACTTAATTTTTGCCACTAAAAGCAAGAAATTTAGTATTCAATTTCATGAATACTTAACTTAATAATCAGAAATCTGCATAATAATAATAATATCATCAATAAAAGGTAGCATAACTCTTCAATATATGTAATAAATTTAGTATATTGGAATTATTTTTTCTGTTTTTAAAACCTATAAATTTAAATTTTAAAGCAATGTCTTCACTTGTTGAATAGTATTAATCTTTATGCATTTATTTGTGCTGTTCTTTTATCGTTAAATTGCAAGAAAATTACACAACTTGCAATTATTACATTTTTATTCAACACTAGAATTAAAAATTATTATTATTATTATTATCATTATTATTTGCTGTTATAATTATTATTTGCATTTTTTCTAAAATTTTTTGTGTCATTTTCTTAGCGTCTATTTTGCTCATTATTCATTCTTTTACTAATGATAAAATTTATCAGAATGCCATCATTCACAGATGTAAACTCTATCCAAAAGCATCACTGTTTCCACTGCAATAATCGTGATTATAAATTCGTATTAATAGTTGCAGTTATATATCATTGAATTCACAAACAAAAATGAAATAAACAATATCAAAAATCGCTTAAACTTCACAAGCATATGTTTATTAGTAGTACTGATATCGAAATTTGTCAGCTAAATTGCTCGGATTAGTATTATCTTTGTTATTATCGCTGTTATCAGTGCTAATATAATTATCAATCAATATTATCACTATTTTGGGGTTATATTATGTTTCTGAATGAATTTTAACTGACTTAACAAAGTATTAAAATTCCCCACAGATTGATTGCTCTCTGCTTGGCAAGCCTCCTATCGCTCAGCCAATACTAAATTTGCATCACAATATTTCCTTTATATTCACTGCACTGCCAAACAAAGTAAA